TGTATTTGTCAAAATAGCCGAGAGTCACGCCTGTTTCTCACGCGCGGGTCCACGCCGCGGGCGAGCAGGCTTTTGCGTCTGAACTCTGCAGCGGGGCACAGATCTATATACTCCTGTCTATTCTATCTAGTTACCTATCTGTCTAAATACATATACTTTTTTAAACTTTTAATCTGCACCACGGCCGCGGCAACTTCCTCCTATAATGCTGTTTCCTTAACCTGCAAGTCTTTATTTGACAAATGATAGAGAATTTCTGATTCTCACGCTCTATGAAGGGTGCCATTCATGTATTTTAAGATGCACTCGGTCAGAAGACAAGCGCAGGAGATATCATGACATTGTGTTTTTGATCGTCAGCATGATGTAGGCTTATAGTGACAATAATATTTATACAATATGGTTATTATAATGATATTTATACATGATCAAACTAGTGTGCAACTTAAGCAACTTTTTTACATTTAGTTTTGTAGTTCTGCCCAAACTAATATTTGTTGCAGTTTTTAACTGTTTAAGTTCATTTGATTGACAATGTAAAAGCTGTTAGCTACATTTGATGTTTCATTGTTGAGTTAAACATTTTTTTAGGGTCTCTGACACATTGCTTTTATTATTTATTTTTATTTTATTAATCAACATTAACTGTGTGCGTCAGCAGGCAGTTTTTGTTATGCTTATTATTTTCTAGGCTCCCTCAAAACACACAGGCACCCACATTTCCAGTGTGGATTATGATTTTATTTTAACAATAAATAAAAAAAAGTAGTTTTTTTAATTTGTCAACTCTCGTTATTTCCTATATATGGCTTTTGTGCTTTTTAGAATGGGAGTTGGTGAACCTATTCAAGGGCATGCACAGATTTTCAATACGTTATTATTATTATTATTATTTTCCATATCTATAATGCCTGTATTTTGGCATTTTTTTGCAGTCCACTTAGAATCCAACATGGAAATCAATGTTTTCTTTATTGGCATTGATTGTTTTGAAATTTAAATGTCATTAACATGCCTGTGTTTTAATTCCTGTGATAAATATGGCTGTCAAGCAGGATCTTGATGGTTTATTGTGGGTTTGTTGTTTACATGAAGAAATCTGTGTTACAAGAAAACAAAAATTCTTATAATAAATTATATTTTGAATTTAAATAGTTTTTGTCTTGCATTTACATTAATTTTACACTCGAATAGCCAAAATTACAAGTTTCAGTCTTTTAAATGCGATTAATCGCGATTCATTTTTTTTAGAAGTGCGATTAATTAGTTCATTTTTTTAATCAATTGACAGCACTAATATATATATATATATATATATATATATATATATATATATATATATATATATATATATATATATATATATATATATAAATAATAAACAAACAAAGACAATAAAGTAACAAAATAATTATATGTGACCTTTATACTTCACTCCCGAACCCACTTCATTCACCCTTCAGCAATACACACACACTGGACTCGGATGAGGAGGATTTCATTTTGCCCTGCACACAGAGCAGTAACAGGGAGATTAACACGGTTTAATTTAGCATCCACATCCACAGCAGTTCTCCCTAACTCTGCTGCAGTCTATACTGAAAGCTTATATTATTATTATATAAAACAGAGACAGAAATATAAAAATACAGAAAATGCGTAACTAATATAGCTGAATAAACACATTAAATACCTAAACATAATACATAATAGACAATTACCTGCACACAGAGCAGTAAAAGTGAGATCACCATGGTTTTACCTAGCATCCACATCTAAAACACATATAACTGCATTAGCACAAGGTGTATAAGCACATGGGGGAAACCTCAAAATGAGATTAAAAGTATCAAAATCAAACAAATATGAAAAGAAAATCCACTCTATCGATCAATAAATGTATATAAAGTGTGTTAGACTTTTAATGCTGCATCCAATCAATCACTGAAATGATATTTTTATATTTTGGTGTGGAGCTAACAAGGGGGCGGACTGGCCATCTGGCAGACCGGGCACTTTCCTGGTGGGCCGACATACTTTTTGGGCCGGGCTGATCATCGTCTTATGATCTGATCGGCCCATAAAAGGCTTAGCAGCCTATCGTTTTTTTCTGCCTTATTAATTGACGCTGCTGTGATCTGTGACTATCTGAAAGTAGATGCTTTTTTCCCAGACAGACAGACCGGGCCGGCCCATGTGACACTCTGTAGCCCATTGGTTATTTTCTTTACTGACATTGGGCTGGCCCAATCACAAACTCCTATTTTGGGCTCTGTATGAGCGTGCGTCGTCTGTGTGTATTTGTCAAAATAGTCGAGAGTCAGAGAGAAGAAACGCAAGGGAGGCGCAGAGAAATCGCAGGAAATACACCGGCGTTTCATTTAGCGGTTCTGAGAAGTTCTCTGTTCATTCTAGTCACGGCTAAAAGCGCAAATCACGTGACCACACACTCTCTGCCAAGACCTGCAGCCAGTAGTTCAGCGGGTGAGCATAAACCCCAGATGAGAGTATAGTGCATGTCAGACAGTTCATCTGCTGGATCTCATCTCATCTCACTTATAGTTGTTAAACGTGATATTGAATTCATCTTGTTGTTTTGGCTGAGTGCAAAGATAAGCTAATATATTAATTTATGTAACCACGTACACTGATTCTGCACATTGACTGATTGCTTACCTTTATCATATAAATTTATTGTACGTTATACTGTTATAATGCCCATTATTGATTATTAAAACTGATATTTTGCAAAAGACACAGGGTAAAGTTCATTCTTTTCAATGGAAATGAAAGGAGGCAGTTATATTTAAGCCCTGTTTTGTAATAAATATGCAGAGTGAAGATGACGCTCATATAAATATGCAGCTACACGAGGCTGTTTGGTGTCTGTTAATCATAATATCAAAATTAAACAAATTTGACTTATCTTATGTTTTGATTGTTTAGATAGTGAAACAGCAAGCAGGATGAGGTGAAAGAGGTTATAAAGTACACTGTTCCCTTTGAAGATTTACCCATGGATCAGCAGGCAGTTTTTGTTATGTTTAATATTGAATATAGGCTGAGTGAACAGTGTATTGAATAAGCTAAATTGACTGTAGTGTATGAGTGTGTGTGAATGAGTGTGTATGGGTGATTTCCAATATTGGGTTGTGGCTGGAAAGGCATCTGCTGCATAAAACACGCTGGAATAGTTGGCAGTTCATTCCACTGTGGCAGCCCCTGATAAATAAGAGACATATGCGAAGAAAAATAAATGAATGAAGTGTATTTTTTAGAACTCAACAAATATCTTTATGGACAGTATACAGAAATTAAATTGAGATTAAAGTTTGTATTTATTTATTTCATATATACGGCTTTTGTGTTTTATAAAATATGAGTTGATAAAAATATTGGACGTGCATAGATAGATAGCATTTTGATTGAATGTAGTGGGCCGCTCTGGCCCAAAATGCCAGGGCTGATTTTTTTTGCCCCAGTCCAGCCCTGAGCTAACACAAACCCAACTCACCCACAGCAGTTCTCCTTAACTCTGCTGCAGTCTATACACAGACTCTGTGCGCAATAGCGCCACCGGCAAACTAACAGGAACTGCACTCCCATTAAAGCAGGATTTAATAATGAACTATTAACATGTTATATGTTTATTTTGTTATATATATATACAAAATATTTGCTCTCCAGAACTTCCCAACCAACCATTCGGAACTACTCACACTTTCTATCTCCTACGACTCCCACACTGAACTGAGTAGTCATTGGGTGCGTCCGAAACCGCCTACTACTCAGTAGGTACTGCATTTGAATTTAAACGTACTACTCGGCCGTTAGAAAAGTGCGTTCCATACAGTATGAATGTGAAAAGTATGAATGGAATTCGGACGAACTACATCCGTCATTTTGTCATGGTCACGTGACCTACCTGCGTCAGTTGCGTCGCCTCACTTCCATTCATGAATTCTCTCATGGGGCATTATGGGATAGCGCAGCGTGCATGGGATGCGCACTCTAGAATCTCACCGGAAGTAGTAAGTCATCCGGGTACTTCTCGCCTACTAATTTTCGAATTCTATGATTTCGGACATACCACTCGGCTCGCATACTGATTTTAGCGTACTATATAGTATGGAAGTATGCGGTTTAGGACACAGCCACTCTGTTTATAGTGAGTGACTCCGCCCAGTTTGGATTAAACTATTTTGTAGGTAAGTATAAGGTAAGTATGGACATAAACAAATCTGGCAGGTAAGCATTTCACACTTTATATACACTTCATTTGTATTACATATAACTTAAAACAAAATTATTAATCGGCATTTTCACATGTCATGAATACTCCTTTTTTAATTGTTTTCCCAATTTTGTTCATCCCCGACATAAAACATAAGCTGCGTCCCAAATCGCATACTTATGCACTATTCTCCGCCATTTTGTAGTATAAATAGTGTAAGTAGTGTGTTCACACGGAAAACTCTAAAAACATTAAGTGCACTTTAATTACCCGGATGATCACTCATTCAGCCGCTAAAATGAAGTGTGGACTGATGGACACTTCACGCACTCAACCACCGCAGGTTTGATTACGTAGCCGAAGGGGCGGAGCTATCGGACGCACATGTTGGATAACTTTATTTATTTTGGATGATGAAAGCAAAATTCTCCTACGAGAGTGATTATAGCGCCTCCCGATGGTGAATGCGGCAAAACTCACAGCAGGTTTTATTTGATAGTGTGGTCATTTATTTCACTGATTTGGCGACCATCAAACGTCATCAGGGAAACGGTTTGAATTTCCGCTTAGTAAAAAAACATTAGTGTGCCATTTGGGGACGACACTACATACATATACTATCCTGTTGAGTGTGTAAGTGCATGAGTGCATAGTGTATAGTGTGCCATTTGGGACGCAGCTATAGTCTCCCCCGGGTGCCCGACCACTCAGCGCATGCGCAGCGCATGCGCAGGGCATCACTGTGGATAAAATGCTGCGCATGACCTTTTTGGCCCCTTTTGCCTCCCGTAGCCGCTAGCGCAACCCAGAAAACAGACGCAACGAGACGAACAAACACAAACGGACACACAGGTAAGACAAATGAATGCGGTGTGGTTTATGGCGTGTCAGAATATGTAAGGATTAAGGGAGTATATAATTTGTGTATGTGTTCCATTACAGCGCAATCTCCCATGTGCACACGGTAGATCGACTGGTGGAGTGAAGGTAAGTTATGTGTGTTTGCATGAATACGTGGGTGTACAGCTCTGCCGCAGGCCAGTGAAGAACTCCTTTGTCACAGTCAGGTTTGAAAAACCCATTGAACTGTTGGCTCTCAATATGTAGAACTACATGATTTCTGTTATCAGTTATCAAGTCAACACAAATTTTTCATTATATTACAACATGAAATAACTGATCAGTGAATCACAACTGCTAAAATATTATCAATTTTCTTTTAGTCTGTCTTATTATAACCCAGAGTTTGAGTAAACGGAGAGAAGCTAACATGAGAAATTAAGAATCAAAGAGAACGAGTAGAGACCAACCACCACCACCACAGTGGAGACTTCTGAAAACTTGTATTTTTAATAAAACTAAGGCCGATTAGTATTACCTGGTGTAAAACTTTACTAGTAAAGGCAACAAAAAAAAATGTATGCTAATAAAAATAGAGCTGTTTAGTTTTGTACAACTCGATTAGTTTAATGCGAGGGGTTTACATGCAAATTTCAAGTAAAGTAAACTATTTGGGATACAGTTGTTACGTCCCGACCAGTCTAGGGTTGGTGGGAACAATAACAAGTGTAAAAAAAAAAACAAAGAGATTAACTCAAATACTCAATTTAGGGTTTTCCCCTTCTCCTGTCCCAACTCACAATAATCACAACGCTGATCAAGTAGTAACAATATTTATTATTTACTTAGAAAACAAAGATAGAAGCATCTCTTCGGAAGGGAATCCAGGCCAAAATAATAAACAAAAAGACAGCTAACTTGCGGGGAAATAATTCTAACTTACCTGCTCAAATAAAAGTACCCCAAATAAAATGACAACAAACTTCCCTTTCTCCCTTGCTACCACAAACCAGGAGAAAACGTTTTAAAGTAAATGGCGATTCCCAACCTACCGCTTCTGTTTCTAACCAAAAATAATATATATAAATAGGTATTTAATCAGAAAAGCCAATAGATTCACATTTAACAGAGAGCTGTTTTAGAAAATAATTAAATTGTCAGTAACAGAAATCAATCAATTCACCCCAAGTCAACCAACAGTTTGGGGCAGGAGATAGGAGACGCTCGGAACAACAGCGGCGGCGGCGGCGACGACGACGGAGATTTGCGACCTGCACCGAGCAGAAAGATCTCCCCATTGTTCCTCTCCTCCAGCTTATATACGCTCCCACACGCAACACGGCTGGACCGCAATCAAGCGCAGCTCTAGAGGGAGGGGGAGAGAGAGAGAAAGCTGCGCATGCTCCACAGCGCACAACACAACATCAGCTCCAAATGCATAAACAAAACACAAATCTGTATATATATATAATATTTATATATATATAAAATTAGCAAACAAATAATTAATACGTTCTATAACGTAACACAGTGTAGAAAAAATACATTTAATGGAATGAATAATAATAAATAATACTAATAAGAAATGTAAGAATTTTTTTAAATAATATTTTATAAATATTATACCGATCTTGTGAAGTTAATGTTACATGCAGTGGTTTTGTTCAGCATGACTGATCGACTTTCCTGTGTCTTTTTAATATTGTCAAGCGTTTTTGGACTCTGAGAAAGCGGTATATGAATTAAACATACTATTTAAAGGGATTTCTACATTTTACTTTCAACTGTGTTTGACTTATGCGATTCCTGCAGAACACATGGCAAAATAAAAATAAAATCAAATTGAAAAATTGAGACATCCTGGTTTAGCTCAAACAACAAAGCACAACACAAACAATTCTTAGCTTCTCATTCCCACTTGGACTTCTGGTTCATTGATGTCATTTAAACAGCAACTTTAAAACCCATCTCTGCACAATCACCTGAACACTTCATAATAGAATAATAATTATTTTAAAATCTTTTAGCCTATCCTTACTCGAGCACTTAATTCTCTGAGCACTAACTGTTCCCTTGTATAATTAGCACTTCTTGTGTGTATTGCCTCTTCAAAAATATATAATAAATTTAACTGTTGAAAGCTATTAGTTACTAATTAATTAGTTAAAGCTATGAGTAACTATTAAAGGTATGGTAACTAATAACCTTAACTTGATTGTAATGCAGTAATGTGCACTTTTTGTAAAGCCGCTTTAAAAAAATTATTGTTGTGAAAAGTGTTATATAAATAAATGTGAATTGAATTGATAAGAGTGTGTGATTAAATTATGAAGTTTACTGTTACTTATACCACTATTTAACAAAGAAAACAATAGTGTTCTTCATTTTAGCACAACATACTGTAAAATAGTAATACATGTAATAATAAAAAAGAAAAGAACATAATATTGTGATCTGTGGGACGCAGCACAGTGCTCATTCAGTAAAGGCACAGCTAAACAGATGTGTTTTCAGTCTGCATGTGAATGTGCCTAATGTTGGAGCACATCTGATCATTTCTGGAAGCTGATTCCAGTAGCGGGGGGATAGTAGCTGAAAGCCGATTCACCCTGCTTTGACTGAACTCTTGGAATTTCTAGTTTATTTGATCTTAAAGATCTGAGTGATGTGTTAGGTTTGTATTCAGTGAGCATATCTGTAATGTATTTAGGTCCTAGGCCATTTAGTGATTTATAGACCAGTAATAATACTTTAAAATCTATTCTGAATGTAACTGGCAGCCAGTGTAAAGACCTGAGGACAGGTGTGATGTGCTCTGATTTTCTAGTTCTGGTCAGAATCCTGGCTGCAGCGTTCTGGATGAGCTGCAACTGTCTGACTGTCTTTTTAGGAAGACCAGTGAGGAGTCCATTACAGTAATCCACCCTGCTGCTGATAAAAGCATGAGCAAGTTTCTCTTAGGGCCTACTCACACTATGCCATCCGTACCGTGCCCAGGCCCGTTTCCTGGATCGTTTGAGAAGTGTGAGTGCGCTGAATTGGGCTCAAGCACAGTTCACTTGGCCGGCCCTGGCCCGGTTGGAAGAGGTGTGCCTGAGCGCGGTTCACTTGGGCTTTGGCGCGGTACGCTTGTGTGAGTGCAAAAGGCGCCAAAGCCCGAAACTGAAAGCGAGACGTGACTTTTAAGGCACTGTTTTATATGGATTTATTAATCATTCTTACTGTTCAGTGAACGCAAACTGCCGTAGATTATTAATGATGCAAACCCCTCACTGCACCACAGCTGCGCGCCTTCAGCAAACCTCCTCATTCCTGCAGCACGAGGACTTTATCATTGTTTATGAGCTCCATAAGTGGCAGATCTGTTCGGCGAAATATCTGACTGCGTGTCACCGCATCCCTAAGGACTGTTTGGTGAAATATTTGACTGCATGTCACTGCATATCATACGACTGAAACAATATAACAAGAGGAATCTCCACTGTGCTGCTGAGTGAGAGAGCGCTACTCATTGAACAGCGCAGCAGCGATGACGTAAGCGTGCCGAGGCCTATTTGTGGTGTGAGTGTGGGCCGTTGGGGGAGACGGGAGGGGGGACAAGCGTGCTTTGGCCCGGTTCGAGGCAACTGTACCTAGTGTGAGTACGGCCTAAGTCTTTACTGGAAACAAAGCATCTGATTCTTGCTATGTTTTTGAGATGATAGTATGCTGATTTACTGACTGCTTTGACATGACTGTTGTCTCCAGAGTCACACCAAGATTCTTAAAGGGTCACAAAACACCAAAACACATGTGTTGAGCTGTTGACAGACGTATATGTGTCCCACACTGCTAAAAACACTATTAGGACACCTATATTTCACTAAAAAGTGTAAATTGGTTGTTTCAAGCAAATTCGTACTTCCGGTTTGAAACAAATTTTTTAAGCTGCGTCACGGCCGTGACATAATAGCGTGTATTCCAGCGTGCAGACTGGGCGTCTGTGCCAGAGTGTGTCTTATTACGTCTTACAGTGTGACGCATTAATGCATGAGTAAGGCTTGGTTCAAACCAATCAGCGCGCTCTATTGTGCAACTTCATTAATATTCATTACTGTCACAGTGTTTAGACGACAGAGACGCCACGTTGTGTTGGCAAAACAAGCGTGAAGTGTTGCTTTCATAATTTGCTGCAGTGAAGTTTTGTTTTCATTTTCTCTCTGTGAGAGCTCAGCTGGAGTCACGTGTGGATTAACAGTGTACGCGACGCTCGACAACAATAACTTACGTGTCTAAGGAGGATTATTGTTTACCTGAGAGCTGTTCTCATCTGCAAACGCTGAGATCTGGATTCGCTTGTAGTCTCCTCTTAATAAAGACGCGGCTCTAGTTGCTGGTGATTGTCCTGTCTCTACAGATTTGGTAAGTGAGCGACCAGTGCTCTTTGTTTATTCAGTTTGTTCGTATCGAACTAAGTTAACTATTGCACCGAGTGTAAACATGTTAGCACCTAAACCAAACTTTAACTTCGTGTAGGATTTTCACCGCATTTAGTGACCGGAATAACACACGCGGCTTTCTGACGCTACCTGCCGTGTGCATCTAAGTTTCCGGGAAATGCTGAGGTTTTTTTTTCTCTCATTCGCCGTGCGGTATCAAACATTGCATGAAAAATACATGCTTACAGCAGTTCCTCGAATCAAATATCTCGTTTGTCGCGAGGGACATGAATGAATTCCCTGAACGAAAGAGCCAAACTGCAGTTAAAGTCCACCATTTAATAATTTGGCAAATAATTCGACTACAGATGTCCATGTAGGTTAAACACCATCACTTTCTCCTGCGTGTGTGTGTGTATTTTGACTCTGAAACTCGCGCGTGCCCAAATAGACACTCCCACACCATCACACTTTAGTTCCTCCGACACTCCCCCCTAAACAGAGCTGGACACGCCCACTTTTCTGAGTTTTTCCAAAGTAGAGGTGTGAAAACACCCTGCTGAAACAAGGGGGTTTCATGGCCCTTTAAAGGGGAACCTTGCTAACGTTGTTTGAGGAATGTCATGAACTGGCATTAGTAAACTCTTTGTCCAATTTATCTGGTATCCTGAGAATTTCCCAAACATTTCAATTTTTTCAAGACTGGATGGTATAGAGAGGAGTGGTTTGGTCACATATAACAAAATATCATCTGCATATAGCGAAATTTTATTTGTTGTGGTCTTTGTCTGATAACAATATATTTGGGGGTCTAAACGTATACTTTGTGCAAGTGGTTCAATAGCAAGAGCGAAAATTAGAGCTGTCAGGGGGCATCCTTGCCGTGTTTCTATGAACAGATGAAATGAGGAAGACAAATTGCGATTTGTATGAATTTGTGCTTTGGGGTTTGTGTATAAAAGTCTTATCCATTTAATGAACCTCTCACCTAAATTAAGTCGTTTAAGTACTTCAAACAGATATTCCCACTCTATCTGATCAAATGCCTTCTCAGCGTCGAGAGTCAATATGGCTAGATCGTTGTGAGTTTTCCTGTCAGTGTAAACCTGCTCAATGTGTCTTTTCAAATTCTCACAGATTTCATCTTTTATCTTAGTCATTTCACCTCTGAGTGCTGTGATGGCAGCTAATAGAGCTCGGTTTGGAGGATCCTCCTCATCACCGCAGGACTCGTTGGGCTGCGTGTCAGGCAAGGTCGGTGGTTGGTTGAGGCCTAGTTGCGTCGATTTCAGTTTCTTAGGTTTTTGTTTGCTCATGTTGAGATATCCAGTCGAACTTGAATTCTAATTGTTTTAAAAGTAAATGCGTTCTGAAAAGATAGAAATTACAAAATTATTGGTCCTTGTTGGTATTTTTTAACGGAATTGGCTAAGGGAGCTGTTAAAGACACGTCTTACTCAGTCATCGCTCCATCAACTCATTTTTAAGGTTTGCTTAGGAGACTTTCTATTTTCTATCATCCATGCCAAGCAAAACTTTTTGCACAAGTTCAAAGTCCTTTATTATGTGAAGAAGAGCATACATTAATCCAAACAGGACAAGAAAGGTCTGGAAGTGTGCTGTGGGTGGTGTCCAATTCATTCTTCAGGACAACAGAGACCCTCAGTGAACGCAAGGCCAATTAAGCATCCTCTGTCAGCACTTCAGCATTATTAATCTAAAAATATAATTCAAGGGTATTAATGTTGGGACAATATCAACATGACGGAGCCAATATTACATGATTCATCAACTAGTCGTGTTTACAAATATGTTATTAAGTGAAAGTTGCTCTTCAACTTTCATCTTTTCAATAAAACATGCCTAATTGTGAAAAGAATGAATGAAGTCTTACCAGGGTGGTCGTAAAGAATCCCAAGTCACACTCACGCAGCAAGACCAAAAGACCTCTGATAACAGTAGTCCGTCATGAACTGACATCATGCAGTTCCTGCAAAGATAAAAATTAAGAAAAAAAAAATCAAAATGAAATATCTAATTATATTTTAATGTATACTTTAACACATGACCCCAAACATACCTGCTCATCATAAACCTTCAAAAGATTAGCCAGGGTATCTGCTGTCTAGCAAGTTTTGGATGCTGTTTGCCTTAAAATTGTCATCAAATAAAATAGGTGGTGGTCCAGTTCTGTAAAGAATTTGTGGGGAAAATTCTCATTTGTAACATGTTGGTACTCTGCAAACAACAACAAAAAGAAACAAGAGAGAAGTTCATAAAACAAACCCACACCACAAAATATACAATGCTAGAAAAAAATATTAATATTATTATTATGTTTCATTTACTTATTTATTTTTTACCTCAGATGAAAATCAGGTGTTGATCAGATGTTGAAATCAGGATCTTCATATTGTAAACTGAACTCAAAGTCCAACTGAAGTTTCACTTTCCTTGCTGCAAAAGTATCATTGCAAAATACAATGCAATATTTATTTTATCTGGATATGCCAGGCCTAGTAGTACAAAATGAATATTTTACCCACCTTTTACATGCCTCCATTTAAGAACCTTTCTGTAGTCAGCAACAACCGACCTTCAATTCTGTATGTACAAAGTCACAGTGTCATTCAGCTGAGAGTGAAAGTAGTATAATTGCATGATGTCTATCGTTAACCCCCAAAATGGTTAGCAATAGAGCTCATCATCATGTTAGTTGCTTTGATTCGATAAACACGGAATTAACTTAAACAGTATTGAAATTTCTAAAACTGAATTGGACGACAAAGAAATTTAATGCCTGATTTTAAAAGCTAGAAATGACAAAACTTACCTTATTGTCTAATGATGTAAAAATATATAGACTAATATATATATATATATATATATATATATATATATATATATATATATATATATATATATATATATATATATATATAAGATGTATTTTAAGCTGCAAAATTTGCACATCAAATAAACTACGTCTTGTTTACCACGTCTTGAATATTATAAATACGCATACTTTGTTTTTAAGGCTATATATATTCTCGCCAGAGTAAGCATCTAAAAAAAATAGATTGAAAAAAATAAAAAAAGGTTTACCATACCTTTACCATAAGTTTGACCTAAATGACATTTAAAATAATTTAACTGATCATAGGTAATTATTGATATAGAGAGATGTCGTCTCGAGCGCAGCGAAATAATCAGTGTTGATCAGTGCTGGTGATTGAGGTAAAGTTAGTTTTATATTTACACATTCAAACTTTCTCCTAATAATATAACTTCAGAAAAGTAGTTTTTGCATATTCTAAATAGTGAAATCATATTAGCAGCCAATGACTTTCAAAGTACAACATTGTTCAGTCACAAAAAATAGTGCATTTAGTGTAATGTTTTTTTCATGTCATACTTGCATGTGATTTCAGACTGAATACACAAAGTACCATGGTAAACAATATATGGAGCGAGTCACAAGTTGTTACTGAACGAATATATGAATATAAAACCAACTTTACCTCAATGTGCTAGTATGAAATGAAGCTCTGCTCTGTACCTGCTCAGGTGAGGAGTGCAGCTTAAATGTTCTCTGTCAGGCTCTCATCATGCATGGATCAGCAATCAACAAGCTGCTGCGTGTGACAGACAGTTACGTTTCGAGACAGTTTTTGCGCGTCATCAGAAAATACAGTTTAGTATTTAGGTGGAGATCATTTCAGTTATGATTAACGTTACGTTTCTCGCGCCTTTCATTCCCGTAATGCCTACAGATCACTAAGATAATACCACATTCACAGACTGAACAGAGTTCAGCGCAGCGCCATGACTTGCGGTTGTGTGAGATCGCGCATCTCCATGACAACTTAAGCACAGGCTGAGAAAAGGCATATTTGCGCCAAGATTTACATTTATTTTGAAAAATGAAATCTGCCGATTTCAGATGTTTTTGTCTTTATCACACTCTGTTAAAATTCAGAGTTAACACATTACAACTAAAGCTAACGTTGCACTGATTCTAACTTTTTAAACAGTAATGTTAACATTAGTTAGCAACAAGTGAGGCTAAACACGTTTTCTGTATTGCACGACATGTAAACGCATTCTAACCAACTCTACACTACATTAAACTGTTACTGTGACTATATTGATTAAAACATCAATTTAATATTTCTTGGATTTGTAAATATTTTAATTACTGTAGTGTGAAGCGAGGCTGATCCGCCATCTTGAAAAAAACTAATGAAGCATGAGCACGTACGTGAACCTGGATGACGTCAGACGCAAAATCACTGGGCTGAAAGTTTTGAGTTATTGAAATATATTTTGTATAAATTAAACCCAGCAAAATTGTTCAGCTTACTTAAAAGATACAATTTTTACAAACTCAAAAATAAGAAAAAGTTCTAAATACTCATCAAGGTTAATTAAGATAAACAAATTTTAATGATTTAAGTTAACAGAACTCAATTTATTAGTTCAATTAATTAGTTACAGCATTAGGGTTTACAGTGTAGCCATACTACTTCATAATTGAAACATATTTATTTAAAATAAAGTAAAAAATATATATTTACTAAACTAGCCATTTTCAAGATCAGGATACAGACATCTGACTCTACCAGGACCTGGTTTACTAAATTGTGGCAACAGCATCAGAAGCGTTCCAGGTTTTAATTTTCTTCATTTTCAGAATTTGTTTTATTGAATGTCAAGATGGTGATATTAGAATAGTATGAAAAAGCTCTTGATTAATATTAAATACATGTTCTTAATTATCATTATAATCAGATTACATACATTTTTGTAAAAGTATATTATATTGTAAAACTGCGCTTACCCAGGTATATGCCAGGCAGCTAAACTGTACACCTGAAACAAAAATGTAACCTTAATAATGCACACCCTTTGTAAAGCTGCTTTGGAACAATATGTTATTAGTGCTATACAAATAAACTAGAAATTATTATTTATAATAATGTATTTAAAAACATGTAATATCTGTCGTGGTATGCAATACTGCGTATGAGCAGAACACTCCAGTTTTCTGGACAACTTTAAAAAAAAAAGTTTGCTATTATTATTACTATTTTTATTTCGCTAACATTGTTATTATTATTTTTCTTATTGTACACTTTTAAAAAGACTCTAAATATTTTAGGTTCACTTTTATTTTTGATAAATGTAATGTCCTCTGTCTTTCATATGTTCATTTCACTGTACTTTACACTGTATTTTAGAAAACAATTCACATTCTGTGTTAACAAGGTATCCAGCTGGTGAACAACTTATGAGTATGTTTAAAACTGTTGATGAATTGTTTATTTATTATAACAAAAAGCTATAAGTATATGTTGTATTTAATGTTTTAAGTTATTTGAGTGGGAGTGATTTACAACTAAGGGAGACATTAAAAGCAGCTCATAATACAGAGGCAATATTCACAAGAAAGCAATCAATTCAAAGTCTCTGAAATCCTTTAGAGAGAGAAAAAAAACTTGGATAGAGAGGGAAAATGAAGGAAGAATTTTTTTTTTTTTTTTTAAAGATGCACTCAAGTGCTCGTAGAAGCATTCTGGATTAATTATAGAGGTTTAAGGGCACATTATGGGAGTCCAGTTGGAAAAGCATTACTGTAGTCCAGCAACACGAAAAAAAAAAAAAATCACTAGTTGTGTAGCTTGCTAAGTACTTAGCAAGTAAATTAAAACTACAAGCTCCGATTTAGGTATCCAATATCACTGGGCCCTAATAAAAAAAGGATAATAAAAATAGAAATCTCTCCCTTTTTTTTTTTTTTTTTTTTTTTTGTATTGGACAAATTATATTATGCTTTGTTGACTGGATTTTTCTGTCTGTGAGCAATTAAGGAAAAAAAAACATGTTAAGTGAATGACTGTATGATATATTTAATATTGTTTGTTATATTGCAGACATTTGGCTCAACAAGTGCAAAATTAGAGGTAAGAAAAACCAGTTAATATAAACTATGTATTATGTTTTATAATATTCATTAAGCAGACATGCAATTGTTCTTAGTTTTTACTAATCAGTACTCAAAAACACTCTTCATTAACCCAATGATGCCTTTCAAACAGACAGTATGTTTAAACCTGCAAGAAAAATTGTCCTTCTTGGAAAAACAGGAGATGGGAAAAGCAGCAGTGGAAATACAATTCTGGGCAAACAAACATTTACAACTGAATCCTCACCTCAATCAATAACATCTGAAAGTACGAAGGGAGTGGCGCAGGTTGATGGAAGAACAGTTACAGTTATAGATACACCTGGAATCTTTGACACACGTCTTGATGAAAATGTCATCAAATCTGAAATCATTAAATCCACTATTGAGTGTGCTCCAGCTGTTGATGCCTTAGTCATTGTTTTAAAAGTTGAAAGGTACACAAGACAAGAAACTGAAATTTTGGATAAAATTGTTGAGTGTTGTGGAGAAGAAACCTTTAAACATTCAGTGGTCTTATTCACTCACGGCGAACAACTAGAAGATCAAACTATTGAGGAGTTTGTGCACAAGAGCCCAAAACTAAAGCAGCTTGTCAATAAATGTAGAGGTCGCTGTCACGTCATTGACAACAAATACTGGAATGTCTGTGATTCAGGAGAGGAAAAAAGCAACAGAGTTCAAGTGAAAAATCTGCTGGACACAATAGATGAGATGGTCAATAAGAATGGGTGCTACACCAATGAGCTGATGTTAGAGATAGAAGAGGACATTCAAGGCGAGATGAACAGTTTGCTCGAAACTAATTTGTCTAATGAGGAGAAGCGAGAAATAGCAAAGAGGAAAGTTCTTAAAAAATATCTAATCAGGCTTGTGGCAGTGGCTACTGGGATACTGATTGGTGCTTTTCTGGGCATCATTGTCGCAGTGGGATCTGTTGTGGCTTTACTGAAAGCAGCCAGGTTAAAAGATATAATTAAAGCAATTGAGAAAGCTGTAGCAGGTACAATGGCAGATAAAGCAGCAGCAGCAGCAGCAGCAGCAGGAACAGCAGCAGCAGCGGCAGCAACAGTGTCTGCAACAGTAGCAGGAGTAGCAGCAGCAGCTGGAACTACAGCAGCAGCGACTGCTGGAGCAGCCGGAGCTACAGCAACAGCAGCAGCCGGAGTTGCAGCTGGAGCAGCAGCAGCAGCAGCAGCAGCAGCAGCAGCAGCAAAAGCAGGAGCAGCCGGAGCTACAGCAGCAGCGGCCGCAGGAGCAGCCGGAGCCACAGCAACAGCTGCAGCTGGAGCAGCAGCAACAGCAGGAGCAGCCGGAGCTACAGCAACAGCAGTAGCCGGAGTTGCAGCTGGAGCAGCAGCAGCAGCAACAGCAGGAGCAGCCGGAGCTACAGCAACAGCAGTAGCCGGAGTTGCAGCTGGAGCAGCAGCAGCAGCAACAGCAGGAGCAGCCGGAGCTACAGCAGCAGCGGCCGCAGGAGCAGCCGGAGCCACAGCAACAGCTGCAGCCGGAGCTGCAGCTGGAGCAGCAGCAGCAGCAACAGCAGGAGCAGCCGGAGCTACAGCAGCAGCGGCCGCAGGAGCAGCCGGAGCCACAGCAACAGCTGCAGCCGGAGCTGCAGCTGGAGCAGCAGCAGCAGCAACAGCAGGAGCAGCCGGAGCTACAGCAACAGCAGCAGCCGGAGTTGCAGCTGGAGCAGCAGCAGCAGCAACAGCAGGAGCAGCCGGAGCTACAGCAACAGCAGCAGCCGGAGTTGCAGCTGGAGCAGCAGCAGCAGCAACAGCAGGAGCAGCCGGAGCTACAGCAGCAGCGGCCGCAGGAGCAGCCGGAGCCACAGCAACAGCAGGAGTAGTAGGAGCAGTGGAAGTAGGAGCAGCAGGAGCAGGCATTGGAGCAGCCGCTGGTTCAGGCATTGCTGTAGGTGTTGTTTTTGGTGCTGCAGCAGTTGCAGGAGCAATTGGTGGAGGAATCACTGGGTACAAAGCAGCAGCTGAAGCAGAGTCAGTGCTTGATGCCATTAAGCTTGCAGCCAAAGCTAACTATGAGAATGCAAAAGAGGTTGTTAAAAAAGCAGAACAGCTCCCTTCTAATGTTTATAAGAAGATTCAGTAAAACAATACAAACTCTTTTAACTAAAAATTCTATAAATTTAGTATATTCATTTATATTTACTTACTGTCACACATTAATAAATTGAGAATGGCAATACATTATTTCTATTGCAAAGATGAATCCTCAGATCCGTGTAGTACTTGATTACTTTTATCACATATTGATAATTAATCTTTAGTTCGTGATTTACCATTCAATTATTTAGATTTCTATGGCTTGTGGCGTGTGAATATTTGTCTATGGGGATTGGCTGAGAAGAAAATCTGTCTTTGATTTCTGTCCAATCAAATCACACAGAAACAGTAAATCGCATCATACAAGAATGTAATTGCAGTAAACTGTTTGAAAGCCTTAAAAGTGTCCAAGAAGATGTCCAAAATCTTTTCACACATTGATCCAAAGGCTGTTTAGATGCATGTCACTAAAGAGAGGGTGGTGGATGTTTACTGTATGATAATTAAAATCACCAAATAGTCTTAAAAAAAAAAAACAAATACATGCACTACAGAATTTTGTTTACACACACACACACTCACACACAAACACACACATATAAATTACATGTAAACGCATCAGCTTTTTACAGCGTAATACTCACTACTCCAACTTTGAGTAATATTTACAACCGATACTTTTACTCTACTTACACTACATTTTTAGGCAAGTAATGGTACTTTTACTTGAGTATGATTTTTTGGTACTCTTACCACCACTGATTGTATATTTTACTTGTGATTGTATGTTATGAGTTTTGTATTTTTTACCCATTTTTATTCTTGATGATAATGTTTGAACCTGTTTGGCAAGTTAAATATTAAAGTTTTCATCAATAATGGAGTCTGCCGAAATTTCTTTCCAGATTTATTTTAATTGCTGATAATAGCAACTAGTATAGGAGTGACTAAATTATTTAAAAAAAATTAGCATGAGTGAGCAGAAGGCTACCAGACTAAGAGGTATTAGTTAACTCTGACTAACTTCAGAATGTTGAGATGGTGTCCATGAGAAATCATACAATGACCAAGGCATGAAACTAGTATAAGCAGCATTTTGGTTCCTAAATACATACAATTGAGAATATGGGATTCAAAAAACCAACATAATAAAATGAAAGAATAAAAAAAAAATTGGTCAGATTAAATAGAGTCAGGAGTAAATTGGTGAATTTTGATAAATTAAAACTAGTCTTTCCAGAAGCTCTCTAAAAGACATTCACACAGAACTCCTTCAACCACGTCACTGCATTCCATTTTTGAGCCGGTGGGTGGATCCTTACACAGGTAACAGCTTGTTGGGTCTTGGGTGTCAGAAAGCTCTGCTGTTGTTGTTTTTTTTTTTTTTTCTTTTTACATGAGACAGAACAACTGGGCATTGTTTTCTGACTGGGCATACTTTTTTTGTATTTTTTTTGCATGGAGGCTGTGACTTATCAAACAGCTTGCAGTACTTCTGTAAAAACAATTTCGTGAAGTTATCATTAAATGTGCAATTTTGTTTATTGAACAGTTCATACATTTAAAAGTACTTGAGCACTTTTAATATTATAAAAACATTTTTAAAAGATTGTAAGACTCTAAATGATCATATGCATTTGATTATATGGCTAAACATGTCTTTTCTCGAAGGCTCAGACAAATTCCAAAGGCAGATACTGATTAGATAAGAGCCTGGATAATGTGTGGACTTTGGGGCTTTTATACGGTGGCTGGGAAGTGCAAAACAACATTACAAAGTTTGAAACACTTTAACAAAGCTGGAGACAAATTTACATTTTGAAAAACATGTTTACTTATCATCAGACACAATTGCATAAGAAAAACAATTTTACCAAGGACAAAACAAATTTACATTTTAGAAAACAAATTAACAAGACGCAAAACACTTTTACAAATCCTGAAACAAATTTACAATTACAGATTCCTTACGGAAAGGGAATGTACCACACATTAAGCATTAGTATTAGTAATGAATGATTCATAGTGTGTAGTTATTAAAGTTATAAAGTGTTACCAAAATATAAATAGATTTAAATATATATATATATATATATATATATATATATATATATATATATATATATATATATTATTATTCGTAATACAAGTTGTCATTTAATACAAACAGTCGGAACTGTACTCTTAAGCTGTGGATCCGTTGAAATATTTGAACTCCCGCGACTAGACCGTATGCGACCGGCCGACTGGATGTGATGTATTCTAGTGTTGTACAAGCAGATTCGTGTGCGCGAGATGAGAAACATGAGTTTGTTTGGTTATTTTTTGAATCAGAAAAAGTATATTAAAAAAAAAAAAAAACTTCTCTTCATAAATGTAAGTAATACAAATATAATGTTTTATGTTGTCTCCACATTCCCTCCAATATTTTTAGGGGTCTGTGAATTTCTAGTATTCATTCATTCAACCACGGAGAATTGCTTTTGCACTCCTTTATTTTAGACAATGCGAAAAAAGCTTCTCTCCCATGGCGCACGTCAGAACTGAAAATTCTGTGCGACTGCCACAAGGGGGCGTATTCCGATAGTCATGTACAAATGTTGTGAGCAGTGGAAAGGCGGCTCAAAAAACTTGAGCATGTACACAGAACAATATGAGCATTTATAGCAAATAAATGAAAGTGAATGTTCTGCTTGCTTTATGAGCTCTATCGAGTTAATTCTGTTGCTTTGCAATTGCACTTCTGAAACGCTAGTTGGCAGTAAGGTGTTAATGTTCCTCTGTCAAGTTTTTTTTTTTAACACTTCCTGAATGTACAAGTGGCTCAAACTTGCTCCTTTTGAGGCAGGAACTGGTGGACATGCAACAACTTTAAATATGAGGTAAACACAAAACAAAACTTTCCATCCGGAGCTCCTCACGGTGCTCCACACTTGCAAACAATTGCTGCATCGGGCTCGCGCGGCTCTCAGTCCCACCCAGACTCGTCAGCGCTACCAGGCCAACCAAAAACAGAGTTTGTGCTACGCATCGTTACGACGTGTAGTTACATTTTTTGAGAGGTGCACGTCAGAGACACCGATGGCCACAGCATATGTTTTAAATGCTCTCACCTTAGTATCCTACCGCGCCATAATAATCGGTTATGATGAAAAGTTGAACCGATACCGAATTGTCCGCATCTCTATCGCGCCTCAAGTTTAATGGTATAGCATTAGACTTGTTTGTATAATGTGGATTTCAGCTAGGAAAACATTTAGAACTAAATAATTAAAGACCATAGACATGTGCTCTTTCAGACATTAACTTATATACAGTAGGTGAGAGTTCAAAGTGACTATTACCGCCAGGCAGGGGCGCCCCCAAGGGGTGGCCAGGGGTGGCCACGGCCACCCCTCGGTAAACTCTGGCCACCCCAATATAATTTTGCTGTTGACATTATTGATTTAAATGTACTTATAAATCCCCAATATTTAAATAAATAAAATGCAGCGACTAAATTATTGTTGGTGTTATTGACGTAGCTGATTCATTGTCTCTCCCACTTAGTGCTGGTTCAATGCTGAATGCTGGTAAAAGAAAAATGACGCATGCGTGCAGAAAACCATTCCCGCACGCCTCACGCACTCCCGTGTGAATCCCGGTTGGTTGTTTGCATACATGCTGACAAAATAGGCTCCGCTCAAGCGCTGTGAAACAGAGTAACAGCCTTTTGTGCAGAGGTGTCGGCACACAGCGAGTTTTAAAAGTCGACTAAAGTTATATAATATGATGATGACGATGATGTTACTTTCACTAAGCATGCCTTTAAAGCAGAAAGGAGGGATAATGAGTCAGGGAGGTAAGACTTCATAACATGATTTCTCAGCCATGATCTGGTCTAAGACCACAGATAATTCTATAATACATTTTTTGTATTCTTTAGAATTGTCATAATTAATTTTCATGCAAAATGTTTCTTAAGAGATCTTGGCATATCACTCCAGTTGTTGTTTTCCAGTAATATTTAGGATTGATTTCTGTTATTTATTTAAAATAATAATTGTATAATAATACTAATATTAATTGTATTTTAATACA